CACCGGCTGTTTCTCCCCCGCCCCCGCACCTCCTCCTGGCCAGCCTCATTCCCCTCCCGGCCTGTCTCCCCGCCCTCTTATTTGAGATCAAGTGTCTCTAGTATTTTTTTAAGCCACCTGGTAACCCTACATCTCACTGGCATTTGCCTGGCCGCCATGTATCCCACCCAGCGCATGGCTCCCTCTGCATCGCAGAGTCCCACACACTGGCTGGCCTAGGCACTTGCAGGCCTCTGGCTGGAGTGGAGACAGCCCTGGGCAGGGTGTGTGTATGTGTCAGTCCAGGTAGCAACAGCTGCACAATCCCCTGCCACTGGGGCAGGCCCCACTAACTGCCAGTGGCTCTGGTGCCTTGGGCAGGTCACTGGGCCTCTCTGCGGACTCAGAGCCCGTCTGTTTGCTGGGCCCCGCCCCAGGGAGAGCTTTCCCAAACAGCCTCCCTTACTCACCTCCTCCTGGCCAGCCTCATTCCCCTCCCGGCCTGTCTCCCCGCCCTCTTATTTGAGATCAAGTGTCTCTAGTATTTTTTTAAGCCACCTGGTAACCCTACATCTCACTGGCATTTGCCTGGCCGCCATGTATCCCACCCAGCGCATGGCTCCCTCTGCATCGCAGAGTCCCACACACTGGCTGGCCTAGGCACTTGCAGGCCTCTGGCTGGAGTGGAGACAGCCCTGGGCAGGGTGTGTGTATGTGTCAGTCCAGGTAGCAACAGCTGCACAATCCCCTGCCACTGGGGCAGGCCCCACTAACTGCCAGTGGCTCTGGTGCCTTGGGCAGGTCACTGGGCCTCTCTGCGGACTCAGAGCCCGTCTGTTTGCTGGGCCCCGCCCCAGGGAGAGCTTTCCCAAACAGCCTCCCTTACTCACAATCACTTCTTTGCAGGCCCTTTCCAGTCACAGGCACAGCCAGGGCCTCTCTGCTCCAGGGACAATCCCCACCACCCCCAGCAGGCTCCCCATGGCGGTCCCTGGCCTGGAAAAGGCTCCACCCCAGCTGTCACATTATGGGATTTCACAGGGAACAGCAAGATCACTGCTGGTTCCAAAGGAGGAGGGGTGTTTGCCCTAAAGTCTGTACAAAGGGGCCATGGGAGGTGTCAAATGAAAGCTTGTATCCTACTGATTGTGTGTGTGCTACTCATGTACTTGTGTGATGCCTGTATGTGGAGTTATGAATATGGGCTCAGCACTGGTGCTGTGAATGTTGTCTGCCTGAGACAGAGCAATGGGCTGTGGAAGGAATGTCCAGTCAATGACTATGCTAATTAGCGAGGCTCCAGGGACAATGGCTCTCCAGGTGGCCAATACACACCTGAGGAAGGTGTCTGGAAACCTGCAAACCAGCCAGGGCATAATGGCTGCCAGTATGTGAAACACAGATAGGTCACTCGACCATGTGACCCACTCCAGCTTGGGAGACACCAGGAATGGATATAAAATGCCACGAGGTGGTTTCCATCTTGTCGTCAGTCTTGCTACTGATCCCAGATGCAGCCTTGTGAGGGACAGGGAGCCGGGAAGGATTTGCCAACCCATCCTGACATAGGATGTGCACCAGAGACTTCTAAGCTGGCAGTTTGTAACAGCCCTGCTGAGAGCCTGTATCAAGAACTTGCTGATCGATGCATGTGATGTATTCTCCTTAACAACCTAACTCTCAATCTTTTCTTCCTTTAGATTTTAGATCCTAAAGGATTGGCCCAGTGTGCTCTTGTGGGTAAGATCCAACGTGTAAACTGACCAGGGATCTGTGGCTGGTTCTTTGGGACCAGTCGGGTCCAGAGATAGGTGAGATTAACCCCTCATTTGTGTGCAGGCCCGGGGCTCATTGTGGCACAGGGAGAGGTGGGATGTTGGAGGGGTTTCGCTCAGTGTGACTGGCTTGTGGCCTATTTGGGAAGGTCTCCAGTCTGGGGCTGTAAAGAGCCCTTGTTTTAAGCAATTTTCCATGAGTGGACACCCTCAGCGGTGCCCAGACCTGGCCCAGTCCATCACACCTCCCCTCCCCCACTCACTGTGAATTTTGTAGATCAAGTCAGCTGCCCAGGGCACAGCAGGGCTGCTCAGGGCCACATGCAGCCTGGCCTAGAGCTGTAGAGTTTAAAACCAGACAGCGATAGATGATCTGCCCATCCCTGCCCACCCCAGCCTCCTGCCTGGTGTGGTTGTGAGTTGTGGACCAAAGTGCCCTCCAGAAAGGCCCCAGGTTCACGCTGGACAACTTCACGGGATGGAGAAAGCCCCAGTGCCCTGGGAGCTGGGAGGAATCAGTGTTGTGAGGGGAAGGGAACAGGCCACACTTGTGAGCACGTCTCATACCCCACATGCCCAGCGGCTCTGTGCTAAGGTTGCACAAGTCACTGTAATTCTGGTGCTGCCGAGCTTTTAAAGGCCTGGTCTCCGCACAGATCTTGGTCCTTACAGAGCCATTGGGGCCGGGCTGTGTTGCTTTATTCTGACCTGCGTACCTATCCCAGCCCAGCTTCCAGTGAGTGCACAGATCTAGCTCCACAAAAATGCCGCCCACCGACATAGCTCATTCCCCTCTCTGCACTGGTACGCAGGCCTGTACACGGACACGGCTGAGTTCTGGTAGCGGGAGAAGGGGAACGAGCCCCCGCTCACCAGCCTGCTAGGCTGAGATAAAACAAAGACGTGAGGCTCTCGTTCAGAGATCGCCGCGCACGGCGCTTGGATACGTGGCCCTCGGACACCCTGGAGATGGGTGGAAAACGGAACTGAAAGCTCCCTTATTCCATGGGGACGACCTGGACACCCTGGCGATTGCTGGAAAATGGAACTGAAAGCTCCCTTATTCCATGGGGACGACCGAATGTCAGGGCAGGGGTGTCGTAGGGCTGCCCCTGTGGTGAGAGGGGAAAAGGGAAACCAAACAACAGAAACTCCAATGCTCCCTGGCTGCAGGCTTCTTTCAGAAGAAGCTTTCCCCGAAGAGATCTTCCGAAAAAACTTCTTCCGACAGAGAGCGTCTACACTACCAAGGCACATCGAAAAAGCCGCCTGATTATCGAAAGATAGAGTCCACATGGATTGGATGCTTTCTCTCAATTATGTTCTGTGGACGGAGTGACCACCAGGGCACCTGTGCTTTTTCCTGGACGCCTCTTCTTTCACAAGACGACTTTTTTCCCCGTCCACACAAACTTTGCTCTTAAATAGTTCTTTCGGAAAAAGCATTGCTCCTCATAGCAAGAGGTTTACCCATGTCGGAAAAGCCCCTCTGTTCTTTCAATTTCTTTCTAGAATGAATGCGATTGCAGTGTGGATGTAACTCAAGGTTTTTCCAGAAAAACTCTGCCGTGTAGACATACCCTCAGTGATTTTAAGGGCAAAGACTTGGGCAGGGAAAAAATCTCCCACCTACAGCTGGCGATTTCCACGCCTTGAATGTGTGTGTGTGTGTATGGCTCAAGCAACGGAGATTCTGAGGCGCTGACCTTCTCTCCATAGCCAACCCTTTATCTGGGATCTGCCCCAGTGACTCCAGTGGAGCTACGGCCCATTGACCCAGCTGGGATCATGGATTCTATGCCCTAAAATGATAGCCTTTTCCTTGTCAGTTTTCCATTTCAAAACTGAGAGAAGATTTTACTCACATTTATTCTTGTCTTTTTCAATTGAGGCAGTGGGTTGGAAATATGGAAAACTATTAGATCAGAGTTTTAAAAGCACAAGAGCCTCAAATTAGAGCTTGATGATTTATATAACAAAAGTAGGAACAACATTGTGATTATATTTGATACTCCCTGAAGTAATGAGATGTGGCCTAATTAATTTACTGAAGGCATCTCCAGATTACTGCAAATGAATTCGGAAAGACCCATTTCAGGAGAGTATTAACTCAGTGGGTAACATGTGTCAGCCGACGGTCAGGGCAGTGTGTGTGTGTATGTTTCCGAGAAAAGGTTTAACGTCCGTGTCTTTACTGCTAGGACTGGGGTCCCGTCGCAGAGGGTGGCCAGCAGGCCAACAGACGCCCCGTTATATAGGAAGAGCTTATTACACCTTAGATTTTAACTGCTAGAACACAAAGTTCCTTCGCAGCGGGCAGCCTGGGAAAGGCTGGAAAGGTGCCCCAACGGATCTTGTCACCTGGGAGTGACACAGATCCAAACGCCCAAGCTCTCCCTATGTCTGTCCCTTTATGACCGGCTGAAGTTCTTTTAAATTGTGCTTGGTTCTGTTACAGCAACTGAAGGAGTCAGGTTAAAACTTAAACAGTTACAGGTTTATTAAAAGACTTATAAAAGCATATGGTTACAATGGCTATTGCTCTATTTCTTAAATGCTAACAAATACAGATTTTAAAAATGGTTACAAAGAAAATAAAGATAGAAAATAGAAATAATGGTACCAAGTGACAGCTTAATCTTTAAAGAGCTCTAAGTCTATGTATATATATACTTAAACAAAGGACCACATCCAGGTACAATTTTTACCCCTTTCTGTGCCTCTCGACTCCAGCGTGTCAGGCCAGGGCCGGTCTCTCAATTCCTAGGAAAGACGAATACGAGGTGGGCGTCCCCTTGGAACCTCGGGAGATCAAACACCTAACCCGACCAGCAGATAGATGGTAGATTGACACTCAGAGAAAATGCGCTGCTGGACCCATCTATATACCCCTGGGGGCCCGTATTCTCTTTCTTATCTAAGATGCCGAATTGTACTGGTCCGTTTTGTGGCGCCAGTTCTTACAAGCAAGTTTCAAGTTAATTTACACTTGCAAGAGAGAGAACTAAATTGTGAGCACTAGACATTTTTTTACTGGGTGAGAGATTCCTCCCCCCGCGGATGGATGTGTGTTCGTATCAATATGGGTTTGAGTCAAGGGCACTCCTTGGCAGCCTCTTGGTCAGCAATTGGCGTATCTCTGTTTACAGCCATTCACGGTCACACAGCCTGGGCCTTCTGCTCTGTGTGCCCTGGATGCTCCAGGCAAGCAAAAATGGATGTTACAAGGGGGGGTTCCTGTCTGGCTACAACATGCTCAGACACTGAAGCGCTGGAGGAGCCCAGAGGGACCCAGGTAGACAGAAGCGGGTTCAATACAATTTTATTTCTCTTGTATGAATGTCAAAGGGAAAGCTGCTTTGTGGGGTGGAACCGCAGAAGCGCTGAGTCGTCACCACCAGGTCTCCTTCCTTAGGGCGCTTTGGCAGGTTGGCAACGATCCCCCTGGACGGCTTATGGGGCTGGAACGTGGGACCCCTGCATGGAGAAACACGAATTTTCCCTGTGTGGAGTCCAAGGCTGTGTCCCCTAGGCGGCGGCAGGCCCCTCCCATGTGACACTCAAATCCTAGATGCTTTTTTTCCCTTCTGCCTCCAGGGCTTTGCTCAGCACCCGCCGGGTATCGTCAGCCACAGAGGCCAAGCCCTTCCACAGCATGAAGTAAGTGGCGAGCAGCGCCGCCCCCCCGGACACCATGGCCCCGAAGATGGGGAGACGCTTCCACGAACACTCTTGTACCATCACTGTGAATCCCACCGTATCCACCAGCAGTCTCAGGGCCATCATGGGGGTCGGTCCCAAGGTGGACATCACAGCCCTCAGCTCCTCCACCGGTTTCCCAACCTGCCGGGCGAGTGCGGAGAGGGACCTGTTGTCCACCCCGAAGCGGCTGTAGTAGCGGAGCAGGTGCTTCCAGAAGATGAAGAAGGTGCCCAAGAAAGCGAGGCCTGGGAGAGGAATGGCAGCGAGGAGACAGGAGAGAAGGGCTGGTTTCCAAATTTCCCCCTCCAGGGCGGCTTTGTTCCGGATGATGATGGGGGAGGCGACGGCCGGCAGGCTGAGCAGGAAGGCGAGTCTCTTCAGGCCCGGCAGGTCCTTCTGCAGCGTCTGCCGCAGGAGGGGAAAGTCGAAGCTGTCGGGTTCCCAGGAGGACACGACAAAAACCTGCGGGTGGCCCACTCCTTCAGCGGCCAGGCCCCTCCGGCAGTCCTCCCGGATCTCCTGCAGGATCCGCTCCTCGCTGTAGCTGGAGGGACGCTGCCGCCGGGAAGCCTCCAGGTCCATGTCGGCTTTGGAGCGCACAAAGTAGAACCTCTTACCCATGCCCTGGATCTCGCGGGCCAGCTGGGCGTGTGCGGCGCGGAAACGCTGGGAGCCGACGAGGAGGAAGAAATCGAATCGTCCCAAACTGAGCTGCTCACAGTAGGTGTTCAGAGGGAAATGGGATGTGCCCGCCCCTGGCAGGTCCCAGAGGGTGACGCCTGGCAGGACAGGGTCTCGATAAGCCATTGTCTCCGTCACGGTCTCTAGCATCCCAGTTTCAGCAGCACCTTCATCACCAGCACGCAGCCCCCGCAAGGCGTTGATGAGGGAGGACTTCCCGGAGCCTGGCTCCCCCGTGATGGCGATGTGGAGCGTGTGGCTGTTGAACGACTCCGGCGTTCTCTGCTGCACGTCGGAAATCGCATCTGTCAGGCTCCCTCGCGAGACTGTGGCTTGGAATCTTGCGAGAGCCATGGTGCTCGGTCTGCGGCAGAGCGGGAGAAACATTTCAGCCCCAAGTTAATGCTCCCGCTGGAAAATCCTGTGTTGACAGCACATAGCTTATGCTGGCAACGTCAAGCCCGTGGCAGTAAGGAAAACACACATTTGTTGTGACCTGTGTCACCTTAACTCTGCTCCTCACACATCTGGCCCAGGCACGGAATGAGGCAGGGCCAGTGTGAAAAAAAACCCCAAAATCCTTTCATGGCTGTAGTCATGATTTCATGTCTAATATAACCGTGCGTATGAATCCGGCCTGAGATCAGCCCCCTTTGTGCCAGGCACCGACCAGACCTGGACCAAGATCAGGGCCCCATCATGCCAGTGGCGGCACAAACCACTCCAAAACCAAGGCCCCTGTCGGGCCGGGTGCCCAACTCGCAAGCAGAGGCAGTGGGTTCCATGAGCCCGTGGTGTCCCGGCACCAGGAATATTACCCGCTGGGAGCCAGGCTCCATCAAAACTTGCTGCCTGCCCTCTCCTACCTCCCCCCGCATGGTGATTTACAATATCTTGGAGGCTTCCGCCTGCTGCTCGCTGCCAGGGCTGCTGGCCTGTGCATCCCTGCGGCCCAGGGTCTCTGCACGCCGCTCCCAGCATGGAGACCCCCTCCCGCCCCACAGCCAGAGGGGGGTGCCCCCAGGTAGGCGTGGCATGCCCACCGCCACCCCCTCCCCCTCAGCCTTCCGTGCACTCCACTCCCTCCAGAGCCTGCCCCCTCTCCCCCGTCCTGCCCTAAACTCCCCATAGCCACCCCC